CCTGTCACAGAGCATCAGCAAGATGCTGGGGAACCTATCAACTCATAAGCAGGATGCAGACCTCAGCCACTGAGTTCCAGGGTGCGCGAAGGCTACAGGCCACAGCACAGGGCTAACAGTCCTAGTACCAAACATCTTTTTTCATACTTTGAAGTTTGTTTTGAGTATTTTATGTGGGTTAGATAATGTAAACAATTTAAAATACACACACACACACACACACACACACACACACACACATCTAGTAGTGGCATCCTGTAGGGCTGAGGTTAAGCCATTTTTAATTTGAAACTATTTCTTGAGAGATGGAAGTTTATAGACGTGTAGGCTATTTGGCTATAGAACATTTCTGGGTACAATATTACTGCAATATTACAAGTCAGGGTTTATTCAGCCAGAGAAAAAGAAGGGGTAGGAAAAGAAACTTGTTATTTCTAAAAATTTTAATGTGTTTTGCCTGCATGTATGTAACTGTACCACATGTCTGCAATGGGTACAGAGGCCAGAAGATTGTGTCAGATCCCCTGGAGTTACAGAGGTTGTGGGGAATCAAACCTAGGTCCTCTGTAAGAGCAGCCAGTGTTCTTAAACACTCAGCCATCGGAAGATGACCTTGAACTTCTGGTCCTCCTGCTTCTAGCTCCCCAGTGCTGGGATTACTGGTGTGACCATGCCTGATTAATGCAGTGCTAGAAATGCAACTCAGGGCTTGGTGGATAGCAGGGAAGCACTCTACCTACTGAGTTGCTAAGAGAACTCTGTCCATGTCTCTTTGCTGTAGACTATCTTAGTAACAATTTGTCCTAAGAAAGAAACATACATTTATATTCAAGAAGGATAGTTCTTAGATTAGGACAAAGCATTGCAAATTCGTAACAATTGTTAAGTCTTTGTTCTGACTTCCCCTGGAGGGACTAATTATTGCTTGAAGTTTGGGGAAGGCTTAGATCTTGTGTGTTGGGTTATGCTGGAATGGGAAGAGGGCTGAGATCACAGCTCCCCTTTGTGTTGCAGTTCATTTAAAATCTGGGTGTTTAAGATGCTGAAGCTGGTCTGGAGGGATGGGTGAATTAGAGTGCTTGTTGCTTTTGCAACTGGTTTGAACCTCTGCTCTTGCAGAAGACCAGGGTTTGGTTTCTAGCACCCACTTGGCAGCTAACAACTCTCCTTAACTCCGGTTCCAGGATATCTGACACCCTCTTCTGGCCTCCACTAGCATTGCAGGACATGGTGCACCTGTGCAGACAATACACTCATACACATAAAAAAATTTTTTTTTTTTAAAGATGTTGAAGCTATACTAAGATTTCAGATGTGCTCTGCCACCCAGAAATCTGAGAAACAAGGTCCAGGCTCAGCTAACATCCCTTAGCTGGTGAGATAAAGCATTTTCTGTGTTTATATGCTTTGGGGGGGGGTGCCTCAAAGTATTTACGACTCTGTTGAGAATGCTTTAGTTGTAGTTTACTTTTTTATCAAGACAAGGTCTCCCTTTACCCCAGCTGGCTTTGAATTCAGAGAGATCTGCATGCCTCTGCCTCCTGAGTGCAGGCAACCTTTTCTTATTGGTGAGTGCGTGCTGGTGCACCATGACTATGGAGGTCACTGGATTTCAGGAGTCAGTTCTGCCTGCCTGCAGCGCGTTTCTGAGGCGGGGTCCCGGTTTCTGCTGTTTGCACACCAGCCTAATTGGCAATGGAACTTCTGGTGACCCTCCTGCCCCCCCCCCCCATCTCAAACAGGAGTGCTTGGGATCACAGCCACCACATCCGGCTTTTTCCTGGGGTTCAGACGCTGGAGCTAGTAATGCACATGTGTTATCGTAGCTCTTGGGAGGTTGAAGCAGAATTCCTAGAAACCGAACCAACACATCAAAAACAAAACAGAAAAGATGGTGAAGGACCCTTGACTGGAGCAAGCTTAAGGCACAGAACCCCAACTTCGGCGATTTTTATCCTGACAGTCACATAACTTATGCACTGAAACGCCCTATGACCCACAGGGTCTCCCAAATTCCTGGCCTAGCACTACTCTGAGGGGTTCAGTTCCTACGGAGCACGCACGTTTAGGAAGGTGATCCTTAGGGAAGGATCATGCTCCAGGAGGGCTAGGCGTCACATCACTCAGGGCAGGGATGTCCGTGGCCACTGCTAGGTCCTTATCAACTCGATGTGGTTTCATTTTCTAGTAGGTGTTGTCAAGGCCTAGGAACCCCAGCACATCCCCCCAACCCCCCCAAAAAACCAGTTCAGGGCAATAGGTGACTTGGGGGGTAGGTAGAACTCTGGTTGTACTGAGGTATTTTACTTACTGAAGAGAGAACACATGCCAATCTTTTCTGGCCTTTTTGAGACAGGTTCTCTGTAACCCTAGCTGGCCTCAAACAGCATTCTGCCTGCCTCTGCCTCCCAAGTGCTGGGATTAAGGCCTGTGCCACTATATCACCATGCCCCAGTTATGCCATCACACAGTTCTTAAAAGGCTGCCAACATGGGATGGCCACCACATTCATAACGCATCTGAAAGTCTGCAGACCCGCATATTCTAGGGAAGCTAACCAGGCCTGATCTTTAAGCCAGTGAAATGCAAAACTGGCTTCCTCTGTTTCCCTGAACACTGAGCAGTGTTTTGGAAACCTGTAGTTATCTAAATTCCCATCAGGTGACATTGTTTAATCTAACATTCTCTCTTGCACGTGTGAAAATAGCTCCAAGGTCACACCAAGCTCCTAGGGACTTTCCTTTGGTGGCCTTCCTGCCGGTTTCCTGCCAAGTCAGGACAGGTCTCCAGAGGGCTGCAGCCCCAACACCGGGGTCCATTAGGAGACAGACACAGAGACCTTGACCGAAAAGAATCCGTCTAGTCGCTGATTAGGTCGGCCAAAGTCCAGAGCGGTGAAAGTTAGTTCAAGAGATACTTTGTGTGAAACTATTGCTTCACCTGAATGTGTGTATTCCCAAATACTGTGACAATATGGAACGGAACTTCACTCAAACTCGCAAAAATATTCGAGATGGAGGTCAGCCTGGTCTACCTAGGGAGTGCCAGGCTAGCTGCGGTTACAGGGAGACCCTCTCTCAAAAAGACAAAACCAAATGTTAAAAAAAATTAAAAATTCCAGCACTTGGGAGGCAGAGGCAGGCGGATCTGAGTTCGAGGCCAGCCTGGTCTACATAGCGAGATCCTGGCCAGCTGGGGCTACAGGGAGGCCGTCTCAAAAAAGACAAAAACAACAACAAAAACACACCTGAAAAGCAACAAAGTTTCACGCCGAAAGTGAAGGGAGGGCCGCCTTTTATGCCCTAGGCGTCTCCCCATGGTTTCTGGGCCTTATAAAGGTCACCACTACGTTTGTTCCCCAAACCGTCTCCCTTTAAAGAAGAAAAAAAAACAAAACCCAAACCCTGGTTTCCTCCCTCCATCACACTGACATTATTAGGCAGGCGAGTTGCACTTCGGGGACCGTCCTCACGTGGCACACATGCAGAAAGTAGAGCTAAACTTCGGAGGACGGCGCGCCCAGGTACAGCTCGGTAAACACGGTCCGACTTTATTTTTGTGCCTTGGGCACCGAGGGCCCCAACGCTCCCAACAGAGCGTACCGCACAGGGTCGGCTCTCGGACACCGGCGCACACCCTCTGCCCACCCGCCCCAGGCCGGGTCCCCACCGCGGACTAAGCCCCTTCCAGGTTCGCCTCCGAGTCGCGACTTCGCGCACGACGCCCGGGCTCCCGCGGCCCGCAGCTCCCCGCACCTGCCCGCCGCCTCCGGCGAGGGGACCCGCCCAGCCCGGAGCCAACCGCGCGGCCGCCCGCTCCGCCAGGAATGCGCCGGGCCCAGCCCCCAGCGCCGCCGCCGGGGAGGGAGGAGCCGGGAGAGCGAGGGAGCGACCGAACAAG